TTTTGGGGTTTTCTGAGGCTTCTTTTGGGGTTTTCGGAGGCCACTTGCCACCGGGAGCAGGGCCGGGCCACGTCCCCCTGCCTCAGCGCCGGCCTCCCCGGGCCGCCCCACGTGCGCCCTGCTCCCTTGCTATGCCCCGGGCCGGCCCCAGCGAGTGTCCCAGCCCTGCGACCTGGCACGGATGCAGGCAGCAGCCGTTCGCTGCGGCGCTCCCAGGGCTGGGGACATCGCTCTGAAATGCATCGTCCACTTGACATGCTCTTCCCCTTGAGTCTCCCTAATTAAAGTACAGCTTTAAAAGCAAAGATCAGGAACTAAGCTGATTTTCATGTCAGCATCCAGAGCCTCATTTCAGTGAATAATTGCTGAACCACATCGTGAATTCCCTACCCAAGCAGGACATATCCTCGTTTCACGTATCCTGAGTACTCATTGCTGCAGCCCATTTGCACCGGAACTACCCTCGGGCTCCAGCATTCGCCCGCACCCACAGATTCCTCCTTTCAGATCTATCAGATGCCCAAAATCCCATTCACATGAATCAGCTCCAAGGCAGCTTGTTTCTAAACGCAGAACGCCAACGTGTCACCTGCATGGTTTGCTTGACACGCAATCCATTTCGTAACGAGCCTGAGCGCACACAGATAAGGCAATTTGGGGAACTGTGGCATAAACTGCATTTATTTTGATGTAGAGCGTTGTCCCTGCTCTCTCCCCACCGGCATCTTTCCTGAAGCTCTCACCCCACCGCGCCTGTCAAACCACAGCTAGTTTTAAAGTTAAGAGGCTGGCATGAAAACGCCGGCTGGTGTCCCCTCTTGTGTTGCAGCCCCCTCCCAGCTCACCCCAGCCACAGCTTCAGTGGCCGTCAGTCCTAGCGCAGGGAAGACCACGAGGTCCAACACTTTCCCAGAGAGCAGGCAGCGAGTCCAGATGCCACCTCGTCAAAGATTTAGAAACCCAGTATGGTTTAGCAATTGCTGGCTAATGGCAAGCACCCAAAACTCAGATCTCCAACATCCTTGAAAAAAGCTGTCCAATGCATTAAAAAAAAAAAAAAAAGAATGAATGTAAATTATTAGTTTCACTCTTTCTCCCAGGGAGATGTCAACATTAGGCCTGAATGAAATCTTGCTGTACAGATGGGGGGAAAAACCACCAATTAACATAAACTCTACAAATAATCCAAACTTCCTAAGACTTGCGTAGGGAGCTTGCGTAACACTGTCGGAGAAGACCAGACCTCATCGGCCCCCGTTTGAAGCGCTCCTCTCTCTCTCTCAGGTGACAGTAAAATCTTCCCAACAGCACTGTCCGCAGGCAGGCGCCCCCTCCCCTTCCCACCACTCGCCCTTCGCACGGCGGGTGGTGGACCCGGAGCGGCACCGGCACCTGTGGCACCCAAGGGTGCAAGCCAAGGGGCAGAGCGGGCCGGCAAGAGAAGCGGCCGGGGCACGGCCAGGGGCCAGAGCCAGTCCCAGAGCCTACCTTCTCGTAGTACTTGACCTCGTACTCGGTGCCGTTG